ACTTTTGACAGGTTGTTGCCGGGTATGTTTTTGCAAAGAACCACGTGCGTCTCACAGAAGAAAATAGGCATGACTTTTCTTCTGTGTCATTTCGAAACTGTGGGTGCTCTGACATGTTTCTACGGATGCCCAGACAAAAAGCATAAGCCGTAATGATAAGCACACGTGCAGCGTACGGCACCATGTGTGTCCTGGACATTAGGGTGCGAGGTAGGAGTGTCATGATGTCTAATTTCATTGAATGTCTTTTGCCTCAACTCGTCTCTCGAGGTGTCTCCTCCTCTTCTCCCATCTCATGTGAGAGGGATTAAGACATGAAGAGAGGAGGCAAGAGTTACAAACTGGGAAAACAGAGCAGCCTCATATCTTTATGATGCCTGCAGAGATGTGTTTGTATTAGAGACACATGCATAACGTGCATGCTTGCTAACTACAGGTGAGTAATGTCGACATTTGCATTCAATTCAACCCTTTAAATATTTGTGTATAGCACATTTCAATGTTGTCCAAAGTGCTGTACAGGCTTAAAACACAATACAAAATATAGAAATATGCATACAAATAATTAATTATAAATAAAAACTAAAAAGTAGGTAACTGCAATACCATTAGTGTGGTACCCTCATATTAGTATCTTAGTGTTCACAGTGATAACATGCTGGCCCTGACAAGCCCATGTTGACAGCCTTTGTTCTATAATACAGCATAGGTTGTATTATATAAAAAAGGCTCAGGGGGGGGATGACATTTTAATGATATAACGGGATAGATGGAACAGAAGTGTGAATTTGATGAATGCATTGACACAAAGCCCATGGACGACTACACAATGAGATAATAAAGTACAAGGATGATCTTACTTTTCAGGAGGTACTCATAGAGTTTCCTCATTTTGAGTAGGATCTCCCTAACGACCCCATCAGCATTTCCAAAATGGTGGACCAGATCCCCACGGATCTCCCCACTGCGGCCCTTATTGGAAAGGAAAAGGACCGGGCTGGAGCCAAGGGTGTGTAGTTTAAGAACCTGCAAGAATTGGAGTGAAAAAAATTGCATACAGGCACATTGATCAATGATACAAATCTTTTTAAAGCCAGAAAAAAATGGTTTCACATTCACTGAGGGCAAGGCTGTTTGACAAATAAGATATGTAATCGTCTGAGAGGCCAAACATCTTAAATAATAAGTCATTTAAACTTACAGATAGCTCGGCCGACTTAACGGTCCTGCTGGCGTTCCTGTTGCTCTTCACAGAAGCCCCCCAGCTAGAGTCCTTTAATTCCGCTTATTTTTTTTAAATTTTTTTATTTATTTGAAGGGGGCAGACACACACCACACATGTTTTACGCCCAAGGGAATTTGGGGCCTGGCAGGAGGGGCACAGTTGTTTTTTGGGCTTTGTCATTCTGCAAATGAAAGTTAAACATAGAGGGATTATCTCAAAAATGTTTGCTGTCAGTTGATCAATTTGTTCTCAAATACACAAATATGTTATTAAGTTCATGCTCTATATTAAATGCAATTGGAGAGATAGAAGATACAGTCTAATATGCTGTGAATACTTGAGATAGTGCGCAAACTTCCAATGGTTTGAATCAAATTAATATATTCATATGTGAATATTCAATATATTCAAACACAAATGACAAGTGGGGTTTTTGTATAATAGAATGTAACATTTAAACGCCAATGCTAAGTGACTCCATTTTGAACAAAATTGAACAACATTATTTTAATAATTAGGCTAATGTGTACTGAGTTCTAATGTACTGTGTAATGTGTTCACATATAAACATCATGACATTAAATGATGGCATTCCTTCTTGATGACAGCTTATGGTAAAAAAAACAAATGACCAGCAACCGCAGTGACGCGTCCTAAACATTTTACGTCATTACGTCATTACACCGAACATGTAAAACACTAAAAAGAGTCCTCTTTGTTTTGATGAGCGATACAACTAACAGTGCTAGCTCCTTTGATGACTACGACATTGTACTAACACAGCTAGCTAGCCACACGGTGGCTAATGCTAGCTTCTAAATGATCCGTGTTAAGGAATAATTCTTCTAGATATCTAACCTTTTACTCTGACATATGTTATCTCCTCTAAGGAAAGGCCTTGGTGCCATATGTGTTGTTGTCACCAGTGTGAGACCGGTCAACTTGACTGGCACGAAGGGTAATTGTTGTGAGAACACTGAAGCATTTCTTTATCGGTGTTTGTGGGCTCTAGGATGTGAAATCCTTGAGGCCATGAGCGTTGGACGCAGATGATTCAGTGTTTAGTCTACTCCTTCAGAGATGTTGATTTCTCTCTGTGAACCTGTTAAAAGGTCTAGCATAGAGAGAGGTTCTTCAGAATTGACGTGGCAACTCTACCGTGTGGTCAGAACCTCTGACTCTTTGATTTGTGATGTGAATCCTCCGGCCGAATACTCTGAATAAACCCATCAGTGTTTGACATCAAAGCTCCAACTCTCACCGTGTCTCCTTCCTGAGTCTGTGACTCCATGCATTACTACACAGAAGTTTCCTCCACAAATTGGCGTTGTCGGCAGGATACCAACAGATCTTCAGAGACTGGTAAGTGTGATTTCAAATCTACATTTGGACATTGCCTTGCCAGAATCTGTGATTGACGGTATCCTAAAATTATCTGTGAAGCTAAGCAGCTGCGTTTCGTTTTGGTTAATGAACATTTGGGGCTATTAACCCCAGGGGATCATCCAGGGACTCTGTCCTGGCTGGTTCCCTCTGTGTGTGATGCTCGGACGTATGTGCCGTGCAGGCATACACGGAGATGTTTAAAAAAAACCTTAATGAGGGCAGCAGTAAAGTGGAACTTCTGTGTGAAATCAAAATAGAGATTTGTAATGAACAAATCGCCGAGATTCCGGGGGTTTCAGCGGCCAACACTAGCAGTTAACTAAAGCAGCCATAGATATTACCCCCAGCGCCTCTAAAAAAACACGGCTCCAGCTGCTGCGGCTCCGGGGAATGTGTGTCAAATGCCTCCCCGTATCTGCATGAGCTGGTGAAGTGAACTCAGAGGGAGAAAATCACAGCTTTTGTCTATAGCTTTAACTCACACCACCGCCGTCTCTATTAAAAAAGAGACTGTTTAAAAGCGATCTCGTGGCTTGTGGCCATTTACGATGTGCTGGCAGGTGCGAGGTGCGTGCATTACCTGATGCGACAGGCTCCCTACATTGCTGAGGAGCTGGTGTCGGTCCGGGGTGCATACATAAAATTATAGGCTAATTGATCATGGGTGGGCAGTGGTATGCAAGTGTAGAGCAAAACTGTGTTTCATCGTTGGGATGAGCATGATGGGAGGTGTGTAGGCTGGTCGAGTAGGACTACAGTTAACTGTGTGGTTTCGGATAGAAAGGGTAGAGGAAAAAAGTCTATGTGCTCTTGATCGGGGGGGCATAGCACCACTAGAGCAGGGATAGTGGGGTCGCAAGAGGATAAGCTAGTTATTGCTCTTGGACGGTCTTCAGGCACCGATCTAAGGACTTGTATACAAGGGTGGAGGTACGAGTCAAGGTACCCCACTGGGTTCCCATTGGGAGAGATCAAATAGTCCCTACCCCCTCTGAAACCTCTTTAATCCGGACTAAATTGAGCTGGATGAACTTTTGCTGTCACGCTGGTGTTTATTATGAGTTCATCATGTTTGTTTGTCTGATTGTTTGTATCAGGGGTCTATATTGGTTTGTCTAACCGCCGTCTTGTGCATGTTTTGTAACAACTAATAATGAATCAGTCCATAGCCAGGGTAAAATAAACTAAGCTTTAGTTAACTCACCAAAAGTAAATGACTTGAGAAAGATAAATAATATATAGTGTTTTGCAAAATTCTGATAGTATAGATGTGCTGCAAAATGAAAATAAATAGCAAAAGAGTGTTTTATGTCCTGCATCTGAGTGTGCAGAGGAAACGTAAACAAGAAGCACACTGTTCAGGGTGTGCGCTGCATCTGAGTGTGCAGAGGAAATGTAAACAAGGAGCACACTGTTCAGGGTGTGCGCTGCATCTGAGTGTGCAGAGGAAATGTAAACAAGGAGCACACTGTTCAGGGTGTGCGCTGTAGGTGTAAGAAGAAAATAAGATTATATTACTTTTAAGAATACATTCTTAAATTGTATTGCTGTTATGTTAAGATATGTTTGTGACCTTTTATAAACCCTATGCCCCGTCCTGCACCCTGAGACCCTCAGCAAAACTGGCCCCGGTAATGGTACAAATCTCAACCTGTCGTACAATGGACAGCTTCCCCCCCCCATCTATGTATATACTCGCATTTTAGACTCTGTTACTAACTGTATATCTGTAGACTTGGTATGTCTTAAATGTCCGGTTAGGATGTATTAGAACGAAATCTAAAATGAAAATTGTAAATAAGCCATCTGTATGTAAAAAACCACCTGTATGTAAATTGTAAATAAGCCATCTGTATGTCAAATATGTCTTATATGTCTTAAATGATATGATGAATTGGAAATGGGGGACCCTGATGTAAACAAGACGAAAGTCTTTCTCTGGTCTGCATCCCCTTAACAATTGTATGTTTTGAGCTGTACTGTACTGTACCCAATATACAAGCTGTTAATAAACTTTTCAATCAATCAATCAAGAGGCATCACTGCTGGTCGTAAAAACCCTGCCTGAGGAGGTCAGGGTTGCAAAATCTGTCTGCTGTTTTAGATCAATGTTGTATTATTTGTTTCCTTTATTCTTAAATCTATGTATTGTATGGTAATAATGAAAAAAACGTAATGTATTGAACACATTCCGAAACAAAGCTGATAAGACAGAACTTGACTCAGACATAATACAAATTATTGTTGAAACCTTTTGCGCTGTTGCTGCAAAATGGAAACTTTGTTGATTATCTATTCCAACTGGCCACTGGATTCAGATAATTAATATAAGTTGAAGTTTAATTACAGTTTTAAATATAGTTTAACATTCTTTATTAAACTGCTTCAAATGATTTCTCGTATCAACCAATTGGTCTCCATAGACATTACTAAAATTATAATAGTTGTTAAACTACTAACAAGTTTTCTGAAACCGAGCTTATGAACAAAAGAGTAAAGGTCGCTGGTTAAGCTGGGATCAATATATTTGTTGACGTTTTCATGACAGTGTGCATAATAAATGTGTTAAATGAATTGAGCAATTATTTAAAAAGTATAATGTTGCAATCTCTTTACAATAAGTAATTACAGTTAACAAAGAAGTAGAGGTTGTTTTCCAAGGGCCTCTCCTTCACAGCCCTACACTTTAAATCATGAGACTTTCAAATCATAACAGGCAGAGATCAGTATCACTTTGTGTTGCAAGCCAAATCCATGTAAAGGTTCTACTTGAGCCCAATTTAAATACGATAAAGAAAGTATTGAACCCAGCTCAAGCTAAATGTCAAATGTATTTAATTAATGTACAAGTGTTTTGATTTATTTAAAATGTTCTAATCTCAGCTTCTTTCGAGTTCAGTCTAAGCAACAAATTGTTTCTCATAACATTCTCACTGCTGTCCCAAATGTTTTAACCTTGGGCAGACAAGCTGTTCACACACACACACACCCACCCACACACACACACACACACACACACACACACACACACACACACACACACACACACACACACACACACACACACACACACACACACACACACACACACACACACACACACACACACACACACACACACACACACACACACACACACACACACACACACACACACACACACACACACACACACCACACACACACACACACACACACACACACACACACTTTGGATTCACCTTATCCACATTGTAAATTGTTGCCTTCTTTAAAGTTATTAGTAATTTAAGATTAATTATTAAATTAAATGTGGTACATAAGATAAAATAAATAAAATAATTTGACTTGATCATTTTGTTCACAACATTAGACCTGTCCTCTAATCTCTACTAGAATAAGATAAGTGTGCATGTTTGGATGTTTTATCACTCCTGTAATGTACCTAATCTTGATATCCTTTTCATTACAGAGCTGGGAAAATGGTGTATTGATTAGATTCTGATCCGTGCACGTCCAATTCTGACTGACTTTAGTTCTAATGTTAATGTTAATTTGACTTCAACCCATAAGTAATTATTTAAATTAACTCTAAATTTCACATGATGATGGATTAGGGTTCCACATTTCTTCCACTAATTTGTTTTACAATTAGGCTAAAGGTAAAGAGAGACATTGATGACCTTGTGTCCCTTTTGTTAGTACGTGGTTCCATTTTGTCTATGGCCTTGGACGGCTTCACTAAAAGTCACCCAGTTCTGCCCTGCTGCAGTCCGGCTGAGTGCAGTCACAGAGATGCTATGGCTGCTCTACATGACATTAATGGTCTGGTCTGAATGGACACCATTTCCTGCTCCCAGAGAGAATGACACTCCTCAAACTGAACATTACAGCCGTTGATACTGTCTCACATGGGTCTGCTCCCCCCCACTGAGCCATGAACTGAAAGCATGACATCTGCTATGAACACTTGGAAGCCTCCCTGTCACACCAGCACCAACCCTTGGGTCAGTCAGATGAGACTAACGGCTTCACTTAGGGCATTTGGTTCAGATACATGACTCTCGTTACCGCAGAGTGGGTTGTTTTTAAGGCTATTCATACTGCTATGCAGAGGATGCCTGTAAGTGGGCGAGCTGGTAAAAGCCCCTACTATTGTTCAAATAGGCCTAATGTCAGGGGTCTCTTAATGTCTAGTTCTACATGTATTCACATTATATAGACAATGTTTCCACCTGGTAAAACTAAAGGCTGCACAAAACTCAGGCTACAATACAACCATTCTGTTCTGCTCTAACGATTCAATATATAGATTCTACATCAAAACAATTAGCTTTTATTGTTTCCAAAGATAACGTCACCTTCAGTGGAGGAATGCAAACCTGTTTTCAAATGTAAGGTTTTGATTTTGTTTGACATTTCTCAGTAATGACACCCTCAGACACC